CCTAAAAACAGCCCTACTCTGTCCTCCATTAAAAATAACTGCCTAAGAGACTGTCCTGTAGGATCAGCTCAAGATACAGGGCAAAGATGGAAAATTTAAAAGTTTTGTTATTTGGCTTATTCCCTTTGCATAGATTCTGTGCTCTAAAGAGCAGCTTTGATGTTTCAGAAATTCAGTCCCTTGTGCTCTGTATTTTTACTCATTTTTGTTTGGGTTGTTAAAATTGTTTGGTTGTTAAAATTTAGTTGTACTAAGATCTGGAGTCTTGATTTTATCATTTTATTACATTGTTTTCATAGATTATTTTGAATTGAAATTACTGTATACCAGCAATTAGCTTTGTTGGTGCAGTGAATTGCGCAATGGGCTGCAAAGAGGAGGTTGATGATGTTAAACTAGGAGCAAGTCATGAAAAGATGAAGCACCCTGCTCCTGTAGACACATAGCCGCAGACATGCTGGGCAGGCCTCTTCTTCCCTGTAGAGTGGCTGTTGAGTTTGCATCAATAGAGATGAGTTTCTTGTTTTAAGCAATAATTAGTTTTTAAAGTGAATTTCATTTTCAGGAGGAGGAGTTTGTAAACCAAAGCCAATCAGCAAGTCAAGCAGCAGGAAATCTAAATCTCCTATCCCTGGGCAGGGATACTTAGGAACAGAGCGACCTTCTTCTGTCTCCTCTGTACATTCAGAAGGGGATTACCATCGGCAGACACCAGGGTGGGCCTGGGAGGATAGGCCCTCTTCAACAGGTGAGAAACTAGATTTAATTGGCAGGAGATTTAAAGCACTTTATATAGTACATTTTAAATTTTGAGATCAAAAACTTGTGTCTCCATTAATCATGAATAGATTTTACCTTCTAATAGGTAATGAATGTGTAGAGTCTCAAAAATTTCAAGGATATTTGATTGCTACAAACAAACGAAGAGCTAAAAAGAAGTGCCTCATCCACATTACCTTTGATGCTATATAGTGTCCAGTTAGAACCAACCCATAACTGTCCCTCTAGTGGATTTTCAGAGGCTGTAAATTGCATGGGAGGAGATTGCACATCATTTTCTCAAGGAGCAGCTGATGGATTCGAACCACATGCCTTTGGGATTTCAGCATAGTTTCTTACCACTAGACCACACTGCCTTTAACTCTGTAGCAGGCTCTAGTGGTCAGAATTCGCTATTTGAAAAACAAGTTGGTAGTTTTTCATCTTCCAACTGTAATTCAATGTGAATTGTCACTCTTAGAGGTGGTTTTTAAATAAATATTGAAGAATTAAACATCCACAAATCATATTCTAGGTATTTGTAGGCTTTATATTATCTATTTGTAAACGGTTTTGATAAATAACAATCTTTTTTTTAAAGAAAAACATTTGTTAAATAAAACTAGGATATCTGGTAGAGATTTATGGTTTCAGAGAATTCAGCCATTCTCTTAGGGATTAAATTATACATATATACATGGAGGTTGGACAGTGACACATACTGAAAAGTGTCATCTTCTAAAGCATATGTAAAGGTCAAAGTTAATACCTAGCATGTTTAATGAGATTTTTATAAAACAAAGTGGTTGTGCATTATTAATTTGGAGAATTTGGATCGATGATTTGATTCTTCTGAAATACCTGCGTAAGTCATGATTACTGACTATGAAATTATTTGATAAATCATATAATGTGTTTTATTGTCTCCCATCAGAGTAAGAAATTTCTTAAGCTGTTTTAGGCTTTTGGGAAACAATAAAGAATCTCTTCAGTTGACAGTAGTTACTTGTGCTCTTGTTAAGTTCATGTAGCCCACTGCCCTGTCTTCCCTGTGAGCTTCAGCAAAACATGGTGTCCCTGCAACCTGCTCTAGTTCTTGTCTTCCTTTTCCTGAAAATCGTATTCCTGCAATGCTCTTGGAGCATCAGTTTGTTTTCAAATGTAGCCAGACTATTTCAGTTAGAACTTAGTAACTATTAATTGCTTACTTGTAGTCTCCGTAAAAAAAAGTTCTATAAAATCCAGGGCTTTGTCTTTTCAGCACTCACCCCAAGGAGCTTCCTTGATGCTTTTCATCCAGCAGACTGTCCCACACATCACCGAGCATCACCTTCTTTCAGTGTCATTATTACCACTTTAGAATAACTGTGTCTTTAGGTAAAACTCAGAAGCTATGCTCATGACAATGAAAATCTGTTTCTTTTGTCAGGCTCAACGCAGTTTCCTTACAACCCTTTGACTATGCGGATGCTCAGCAGTACACCACCAACATCCACTGCATGTGCTCCCTCTTCTGTAAACCAAGCAGCTCCTCACCAACAAAGCAGGATCTGGGAACGAGAGCCTGCCCCACTTCTCTCAGCACAATATGAGACACTGTC